TTTTTTGTATTTTTGTTTGAAAGATACCGTTATTCGTGAAATGTTGTAGTAATTTACGAATTGCGAATAAAAACAAAAGAATAACATCAAGCGACTTAATTTTTTTATCAATTTTCCACAAGAAGCAACTAAAACATGGAATATCTCGTAAACCGTTTGAAGCAGCTTTTGACATTTTGCATCAAATTAAAGGTCTAGGAAAAAGGAAAACAAGGGTGAAGAACAAAATGGGGGGTGCCATTTGAAAAAATGGAGTTACGGATATTTAAAAGTTTAAAAGTTGAGAGCTTTGAAAAAGTGACGTAGTTTCACTTTTTTAGACTGTTACGCATACCATAAGAAAATTCGATCCTTCCTTAATAAAGCATTGAAAACTGTTTTGCAATATCTCTCACCGTTTTTCGAAATAATTAAATTTTTAAAAATTTGATGGGCTACTTCCGGTATTCGGAAGGGCGCATTTTGAAAAATATTAAAGTTCAATTAATCATGATGCCAAAACCCTAAAGGATCTTATCCAGTTTAGCTTATTTCAAAAGGTTTTCCATATCTTTCTAATGACGCTCGTCAAGAATGAACCCTGTATAATGCCGCATTTTTACGAGTATCGTAATTGTGACTTATTTTGTTTAAATTGATATTTTTATTTTTGAATATAAACAAGCAAATTTCGTAGATGTAGAGTCTGAATGAAGTTGGAAGTGCATGATTTCTAAACACTCCCCTACATGATTCACGATACTTCAACCCTTTGGCCTGTCATAGACCGTAGGTCCTTCCCATTGAGGGGTAAAACGTTTTGAAATGTGGCCTTGATGAATAATTTGGCCTGTCGTAGTCCTGGTACACTAGCTCTGCCAGTAATCGATCCTATTCACCTCCTCCCACTGGTTTAGGGGTTCCTTTATGTGGCTTTTATGCGGTCCTTTCCCAGTTATATTTGTGTAAGGTTTGTACTGTACGGTCAGAGCTGGGCAGAATACTTTCAAAAAGTATTTGAATACTAAATAGTAAATACTTTACACAAATCAAAGGTATTTGAATACTAAATAGTTTTACGTCCAGCACAAGCGAATACTAGATACAGATACATTGAAAAGTATTCAAATACTTTAGAATGTATTCGAATACTTTCAAAAGTATTTTAATACTATCAAAGGTATTCGAATACTATAAAAAGTATTCAAATAC